ATTTCAACAAAACCATTATACCCTGATTTCCCATTGAAAATGGGTTCAGGGTATAATAACGAATTGATTTTTTAGTAAATTTTGTAGACTTTTCATCAGCTTGACCTAAGATTGTACAGGGTATTGTACAGGGTATTCTGTGTAGAGTCATTGCCCACTTTTACAAAAGCTATTTCCACTATATAGAATAGCTAATTGATTTGTTACTTAATTGTGCAGGGTATTTCACAGGGTATTTCACATATACCCATAGGAGTTCTGTCTATGGCCACCTTAATATAATCTGACTTGATTATATAGAAGGCTAATTTCGTTAGCTAGTTATAGAATTCGAATCAACTGAACGACCAATAGGTGCAGCGTATTATATAGGGTATTTCAGATACCCCTTCATACTATACATATGTTCAAATACATCTGCCAATGCTGGCGAATTGAAAAGGAGTTTTGTGTAGAGCCCACACGCCCACCGCCCTCGCATGTAATTCTCGATTGTGCTGCATAATTAATGAAATGAAAGCATTTGGTGGCGCTTCATTCGCCTGCAGCTCCCTCGACTCGCCTCGCCACACCTCGCCGCACCTCGACTCGGTTACAACTCCAGTTTAAGTGAATTTCCCATTCGCTTCAGTCTCGCTCGTTTTTTGCTTCAGCTTGCTGTGATGTGTGCCTTGTGGGGGGGGCTGCACATAAATTAGATGTATGAGGCCGAAGCCGGCAGATAATACGACCGATTATGCGAAAGCGTGCCGACCTACGGCCTCTTGGCCGCTTTAACATGGCCAACCGAATCAAAATCAAAATCAAACACAAAATCAAAGGCAACGGCAACAGCAACGGCTACAGTTGCCATGCGAGGAATGCAGTCGAAAGCTGCTTAGAGGACGCTCGGCTCTGTTCTGCCTCTAAGCTCAGTCAGAAGGATAAAACGAGTCGTTTCATCTTGTTCTTATTCKTGTTGTTGTTGCTTTGATAGCTGCTGGTACGGGTCGTGCCTGCTGGCCATTTCACTTCATACAAGAAGAGAGAGAGCAACAGCAATGATTTTTTTTTCTCTCTACAACATAGCACAGATTAAATACCCTGAGATATCCAAGACTGAATCGATAAAGCGTAGCAGATTTTTCAAGACATGAACGAAAGCATATAAATAAGTTTTGTGAATGTACATAAATATGCTCAAAAGATGTTTCGCTCATAGAGAGCAGATGTATTAAGAGCACTTTAATCAGGTTTCCCTTTAACAAATCCGAATCCGAGTTGGCTAAGCTCACTTGGCAACTTGCTTTAGTACTAATTCAAGCGAGCATTACATATATCGCCTCAAAATTATTGAACTTTCAATTCGAGTATAAATTGTAAAAAGTGCACTGGATATTCTGGATATTTGAGAAGGAGAGCTGCGTTGAACTGGGACTTATTTGGCTGAACCTCCTGACAAGATGACCACGGAAAAGGAACAACACAGCAACAACAGCAACAACGGCAACAACGGAAATAACGACAACGATTTGGACGGCACACTTTACAGGCTAGAAATAAACAACTACAAATCGTACATACTCTTTCACGTGTGTGTGATATTGTGCTATTGCGTTTTGTTATTGCTGCTCCTATTCAACGCTGAAGCTGCCAAAAGCAACAAAAGAAACAGTAATTTATTTTCTATAGATAAATAATGGAAGAGCACAAAATTCGGCCTGCCAAGGCAAACGTGAAAACAAGCTAAGCAAATTAAATGCCAATTGATGATTGAAAATGCCCGAAAAGAAATGCAAACGAAAATTCAAAAGCTGGTTTAAAAAATGTAAAGCTGAAGTAAAATCGTTTTGGAAAAAGTTAAGCCCAAGTTATTTTAATCCCCTTCCCTGGGTCGTTGTCAATTAATTATGAATTAATATTAGTCGAAAGTAATAGAATATTTTTATTACCTTACAAACCAATTTCACGTATGTGAATAGCTCGTGTAGAACTGCTTACGCTGACTCTTTTATAGATCCCGCTGTAGCTTCTGCAAATAAATCGAAAACAGAAAATGGTTAGATTGAGGATTTTATCTTGGTCAGGAATAGGTAAAATATATTCTTATTCAGGCTAATAGATGATAGATGTAGATGTATAGATGGAGTATCACACTGAGATAGCAACGGAATAAATCAACTCTTTGTTATGTAAAATATATATTTATTCTACGCCTTCCGCCCTTTTGGGCAAACATTTCGGCGAAATCATTCCGCCTTGAATTTTCATTTTCAATGGGATCAGGGCAGGAATATATGGCCTAGAGTCGGCTTTCGGTTTCAGATTTGGCCGTAAGCTCATTAATTTTATTTGGCCTTTGCGGTGGCTTCTGGGAAGCTGCTTTTGCCATGCTTCAAGTGTGCGGCTCTAAAAAAATGTATAAAAAAGCGAGGCATACAGAACAGGGCACACACTCACAAACACACACACACACACATACATACAGTGAGTCTTACAATCGGCTATTCGTATGCAAAAAGCCAAAGTCAAGTGGCAACAGGCCACCGAGGCCGGGGCTTAGCCCAGTTCCAATCCCAGTCCAAGTCCCCAGAGCTGGCCCACAGCTTTGGCTGCCAGCGCAGTGTCTGCCCGAGTCGGGCGCAAAGCCAGGTTGAATTGCCCGCCAGCCCGTAGCCAGGTGAGAAAACTGAAATGCGGTTCAAGGTTTTTATTTTGGGTGTGTACCGGGCGGGTGTGTGTGTGTGTGTGTGCGAGTGTGTTTTGCGGCCAAAAGCTACGGGCGCAAAAGTGAAAGTGAATTATTAAAAACAATTGCAATTGGCGCTGATAAGTGCACTCGCTCGCTCGCCTGCCGAAGGGGTAGCAGGAGACGGCCAGGGGACAGCCAACCAGGCCACGCTCGAGTGCTCTTTGTGTGTTGTCGCCACAAACACACTCAGCTGCTTGTCATAAACAAAAGCTACAGTTATAAAATATTTATAAAAAAAAAAAAAAAACCAAAAAAAAAAAAAAAAAGAAAAACTGGCACACGCCACATGCCGAATGTCAATAGCTGGCCTTAATAAAGTCCGATATTAGCTAAGATATCGATTGTGCGGGTGTTTAAGAAAAGCTATGTATATTTCGTATTAGTGCATAGTGGTTGATGGGGAAAGCTTCAGTTGTTACCCATATATAATAAAAGTA